CGATTGTGATTGGCTAAAACTAGTTTGGGAATGTTAGATAGAAAGGGATTTTAGAGAGATGTTGTGGAATTGACCCCCGTCGCCCAAGAGGACCCCCAGAAAAGGGGCTATGCAACATGTGTTACCGTTACATATGACGTCATTTTAACTGATTCAAAATTCCAGGTCTGTAAAAAATGCCATGATTTAACCAACAGAATTGTATCTATCTAAATTGCAATATATGGTTCTTGATAATAACTGTATCTGTCGAAACTATTTTTTAAGCAAATCGCCCCAAGCAAGGCGGGTGTGCCACTAGCACGCAAGCAGTTACAGAGAGTGGGAGTAAGAATAAAGAGGAGTGTTCGAGAAAAGGATAAAGAGAAGGACAGGGATCAAGGTGAAGGCATCAGAAGATGTCGATTGACATTACATTTGAATATTTGAAGATTTTTAGCTATCAGGGAAGCAAGTGATAGGAAGAGAGTTCCACTGACGGGAGGTGCGAGATAAAAAGCTGTTGGAGTAGAAGAGAGGGCTACATTTAGCCGTTTCGACAGTGAAATTGGTGAGACCGACCTAGTAGCACGTTTGAGGAAAACGGAACAAAACATAAACATCAAACAGTTTATCCATAATTTCGATCCCGTTAGGAAACATCTTACTCGAAAATCAGAAAAATAGAATAAAAAAATAGAATAAAAAATTACATAAACAGACATTTTCGGTTGAATTTAATCAAACTTGTCTGGTTTTATATTTGCATAAACGTGCGTGCATATAGGCGTGTGTGTTCAGGAGTAAGCGTGATAGTGTGCTGTCATACGTCATACTGTGTGTGAATATGTGTATGTGCTCAAATTTCCACGTGGGTGTGTTTCTGCCCGGTTCTGACCGCACACCCGAAAGCATGACAATGTGCTCCCATGCGTGACTGCCTGGATAATCATTGGTGCATGTGACAAAGACAAGTGATTAATGAGGTGGATAATCCGGCTTAGTGCTAATCGTGTTGTCTTCGTCGAGTAATCTGCCCGGTGTAATCGAGCGTGGTGAATTGTACGCCATCCCTTAGAGGCGGCAGGTAGAAAGCAACTTCCCACCCACTTCCCCAATCCCATACTCACCCTGTCACCGCCACTACCGCCCCCACGCTTCAATGATTTTTTCTTTTCCTTTCTTTCTTTCTCCTTTGAACCAGAAAAAAATGCAAACCGCTGCTAGAAGCGGCTAATCTGATAAAATACTGACTCTTTGTGCAGCCATGTTCGAAATGAGGAGTAGGAATCACAAGCTCGTGAAATTCACACAGGCTCGTGAAGTTTACTATATTCAAGTAATATAAAGGAAATACCGCATTTAAAATGCCTTTATTCTAATGATACTAACGTATTTCACACAAACACATTTCAGCTCTCAAACAAATTTATGGTCGGGTAGCCCAAGACACGATCTACAATTTGGGTACGTAAAAGTGAAGCAAGTACAGAAATTTAACTATATGGTAAATGTTATAACAGGCATTCTGAAATGCGACTTAGAAATCCGGGGAGGAATTGGAATAGTGAAAGATACCTGCCATTCATTTACACGTAAATAGCAGTGGGAAAGGGATAAAATCCATGTCCTTCCAGCTATGGGTTGAATAGCAGCACAGATTGTGTCCTATAACCTTGGGTGGCAACCAGTTTATAGCAGAAAGAAACGGCGACCTACCGAGGGAAAATCTTCTGCCTACTCCTGTCATGAATCGGAAGAGACATGATCACCCAAGCGCATGTATCACGTGATGGCACTTAACTGACTGATTGATAATTTCATTACTATTGCATAATATACTACGATATTTTTCTAAATGCTATGTCCCTTTTAGGGTGAGGGAAATCATGGTTCCACACAAGCTCCTTAACTTTAATAACTCTTAATTCTCATTCCGTTCTTGGAAAAGATAGTAAAGTTGTTGTTTCCCACTGGATTCTGTACAGTTTCGAATTCAGTATTCTCCTTCTCTAAGACTAGTTACTCGCCTAAAATATAGAGATCCTAGTCTACCTTACAATTTAAACCCAGAAACCGAAGGAGAAGAGATGACTCCATACCTTTTCCACGGGCATTAATATGAAATGAACTCTAAAGCTTCGACCAAAATTAGAACTTGGCATGCAGAATCCATTTTCTACGTTGATGATTGTTACGCCAGGTACCTACATACACCTACCTACTTAAGCACGCGAGCGATCGTTGCACTCCACAATGTCCTGCCCTTTATATCTCTTAGTAAGATTTGGATATTTGATATCTCGCCTAATCCTTGTTCTGCTAACCATTTACTCAAGCTCACTAGGTAGGTTATGCATTGATTTACTTTCTATTTTGCCTTCAATATGCCCTGTGAGTTATCTAATTCTCCAATCCGTCTTTCCTCATTATGTACCCTAGAAATTTCAAATGTCTCTTCCTGATTCTAAGTGTAAGTGTTCTTTTTGTTTTTATTTTCCCTAAAACTTCGCTGTTTCTCGCAGGATCAGTTCACCGTATTCTCAGCATCCTTCTGTAAAACCACATTTCTGTTAATCAAGTTTATTGCTCATCTGTGAAGAGACTGTGTGCAGGATTCAGTGCCATATTGAAGGATAACATTACATAACAGTTCAGCAATCTTTTATTTGTTTCTGACATTTTTTTTTTACTTCTTGTTTAAAACTAAATTAAACTTAATAAATGACAACTACAACACAAGGGCTGCTGATTCAACCCACTCCCCAATATCATTATTTCAATGCTCAAATATCACAAAACTGATTTAAGATACAGGTCGTTGTATCTTAGAAATGATTAAAGATATTTTACTGGAATTCTCCGAGGTATTTATAACAATATTGGACTCTACATTGAGCATTAAGAATGTATAATTACTCCCCAAGCTTAGAAGAATCGTAATGAAATCGATCATAAACGAAAATGACAGGTTCATCATTAATTAATCATAGCTAAGGATCAGCAACCCATGAAGGATTGAAATAAAGTACAAATATATATTTATTATTCCAGGATCATTTCCTAACTTATTCAAGATGATCTCGTCCTCTCTAACCTTCTAACTTTCTATCCTGGAGTAACAAGATGACTCAAAGGGTTTCACGTACGATTTAATTTTCAAGTCTTTTTTTTACTGCTCTTTAAACTGTCATGGTTGAAACTCCTCTCTCACGTGCCAAACGTCTTATGAATTGAGTTGGATCTTTTCTAATTGATCTCTTTAGCTCTAAGTTGAAATGATGATCCCTCTTCCTGTTGTGACCTCCTGATCCAGTTTTCCTCTCTACTGTTCCCTCTTTTTAAAACTTATTCACCGTTCTCTTGATGGTTCTTGAATGGACTTTGAAGATGGAAGCCAGAGTATGAATGTTGGTACCATTACTGAAGGCCTGAATGATCTTTTTCCTCTCACCATTGCTCATTTGGGAAGACAGTGGGGCTGACACAAAACGATTTTAACCTGTTCTCTTTCTAGCTGAATAACTCAAAAGGTTTTTCAGTGATTCTTACAACAAATAGTGTCAAGTTGGGTAAATGTCTTATAAGAAACGCTGAAAAAAAGAAATTCAATTAGTTTAGTAGTTTTTTTAGATATTAAACAATTTATGGGATGGATAATTATGCTGCTACACGATTTGGACAAATTTTGCTGTTACATCTGGTGTATATATATATATATATATATATATATATATATATATATATATATATATATATTTTTATTAAATTGACAGTTTTTTTTTAGTTACATTTTATACAGCCCCCAGTGAGGAACGAACTCATTGTATTTAATTAAAGAAATATAACTGTCTTATTCTATATTTTATATTGCCCATATGCATTTTTTCATGGCTTATCAACCCGTTGTGCGTTATTTAAAGTTGAATCATATATGGGGTAATAAGAATATTTATTTTTGCGAATGAATGACATTAACAATTATTTGAGAATTGCAATAATTTTTGAAATAGTTTAAAACTAATTGGCATATTTAGAAATAAATGGGAGAACAAAAGATTCATAACTTTTCATTGGTGCGTAAGTGAATGTAACGAACCAGATTGTTACAAAACAAATAAATGCTGATATATATATATATATATATATATATGTATTCTTTTTCATTTAAACTTACAAAATAATTAAAGAAATTTTGCAATACATAAAATTGAAATATCACATTTTCATTTTTGTAATTCAGTACAAAAAAATTTATTGTAGAAAATAATTTCAGTTTTAAAAGCAAATATAAAATTTTTCGTTAAGTCAGAATGGAATACCCTGAATACAATAGCCAACAATGTCATCCCAAGAATAAAAAGAAGTGTATGACAGATGAAATTCTCAATTTAATGAAAGAGAAACTATAGATAACAGTCGGAAATAACGCAAAATAGATTATATTAACAAATTATCAATTTGGATGCATTATGAGGAAAGAAAGCTTGAAGAATTTAACGCCCACAGGATATACTGAAGGCAACAAAAATGTGGTTAGAAGAAGCAGTGAGTGACCAGTTTAATGAGTTTGAGTGTATGGATGGTAGAACAAGGATCACTGATACAAAGTGGAGAAAAAAAGGAGCAATAATGACTTAAAGCAAAATTAAAAATAAAAATGCTCATTTTTTGGGGGAATAATGTAAAACCCCTCGTCCTGAAATGACATGGCATAGACAAAAAATTTTAAAAATTTTTAAATTTTTATTTTTTTCTCCTTCGTTTCAGTTTTCCCTTAGAGAGTCATATATTCTTTATATTCAAGGTCTTCTTTTCCTTATTCTCCTCCTCCTTACCTTCTTCCAATACTTTTCTTCTTCTTCTTCTTCTTCTTTAAAAGTCTGAAAAATACGAAATTCTCTCTCTTCTACTCTCTTTAAAAATAATTCTCTCTTTCTAAAAAAAAATATTTTTTGATTTCAACAGATTGTCGAAAAATTTTTTCTTCAAAATGTTAAACATTCTTTTTTTTCAACGATATGTTTTTCTTCATTTTTCCAGAATGCCTGGAAAAACTGAACATCCTCCGGTCCGTCTCAAAAATTTTTAAATACCTTTTGGATTCTATTTTCACACCACATTCATGGCTGAAAAAGAACTTCCTCGTTTTTTTTTTGATTCTCTGATTTATTTATTACATATTTGTATAACGTGCCCTATCAATCCAGACACAAGAAACCGCTACACTCACATGCGCACACATAAACACGAAGTCGTTTTCCTTCACATTTCTATGTTACTAATCGCATACTTAACCATACAAACGCACATGCCAATGTGTATACACTGAGAGTGTCCCTGAAACCAAAATATACTTATATATTGGGTCGAGTGATTGGTTTTCTATCAGAACGTTGGTGAAATTAGTATCAATTTTGATTCGGCTTCACATTCAAATATTCCTTTGTTGCTGCTTTTTTTTATCGATGTCCAAATATACTTACTGTCACTGATCCCCTGTAAATGCAGTTTTTTTTTTTTAATGAATTATGTGCCGATACATGCAAAACAGCAGAAAAAAACGCAAGAGAAATTACTGAAAATTCACTAAGAAAATTATGCAGTATTTCAAAAATATTCAATATTATTCGATATTTTCCGACCTGTGTAAGACGATAGACTACATCCAGCAGCAAGACCTATGATCAGGAGGTTTTGAAGAGCGTGGAACCACTTCTTAATTGCTGGTGTTCCCAAATCCACTCTGATCCGGGGTGGTAGCACCTGTTAGGGTCCCAGCTATGAGCAAATAGTTAACCCCAAAATTGGAGTCAAAACATTATGAAAGCGTAAAAATAGGTTTTAATACTGCAATACGTTTTTGTAAAAAAAAAAAATACCAGCAATAAATTTTTGAAGAAAAAATATTACCAGCAATAAAAATGTTGTCAGCATTAAATAACCAATTGAGGTTGATATGCCGTAAAACAAAATAAATTAAACCAAACCAATCGACCTTTTTAGATAAAGCATTGCAAATCATTATTAATTTTTGACGGGTATTTTCATCTTATTTCTGTTAGTATTTATTACAACTCCCTGATCGTAATTCTACGATAGTTAAGAAGAAGAAGAAATAAAAAATAAGCTTTCAACAAGATTCGAACTCACTCACTCTGCGAAAGACGCAGCTGCGAATCTTAAAAAAAAAACAAAACAAAGATAAACGTGGAAGAAAAACTAAGCAAAATTGAATAATACCTGACACTCCTTCCCTTGAGAAATTCGATTATTACAGCTAATACGAATCTTATAATATGTAAACCAAGAAGTTGGCGGTTTATGAGGCGTTCGGAGAAAATATAAGAAAATATAAGCAAATAGAATAAGATTCAAATAACTGTAAGTAGTTTTCGTAGCTTAATCGTTAAGGCAGGCTTCGATGGAAAAAAGTTGCGAGTTCGAATATTAACAAAAGTTTATTCGTTATTTTCGATCCACGTGCTAACTTAACAATCGTCAATTGACGAATAGCACAAAATGGCTCAATAGTATCAATGTTATCAGCACGGAATCTATACTCAAAAAGAAAAGAATAATAAAACAGGAATTCAGTCCTCATATATGGTAGTGAATGCTGGACAATCAGCTCGCAGATAAAGAATAGACATCAGGCAACAGAAATGTAGTTCTACAGAAGCATGATGAGAATACCATTTATCAAACATTTGAGCAAGTACAAATTTTTAGAGTCAACGGTAACAAAAAGGAGGCTCATACTCACCATCAGGAAGAGACAGTTAAAATTTCTAGGGCACATAATGAGGAAAGAGGGCTTGTAAAGTTTGATACTCACAGGACAAATTGAATGCAAGAGAGACAGAGGACAACAACCCTTAACAACTTGGAGAGTTTAAGTAAATAAATGGTGGAGGAGGGTTAAGGATAGATAGTAATAAGAAAAAAATATTAAGCGCTAAAATGAGAGGAAATTGTGGGGAGCCATGATCGCCAAAGTCCTGAAGAGACATGGAACATAGAAGAAGATACTATGACATCCAACTCGTTCGAAAATTAATAAACTCTCTTCTATTTACAACAGTTTTCTCAGATCAATAATTAAAAATGAATGAATATTTTGGTTCCTAAACAAGACGATTAGACTTTATAGACTGGCGTTACATAATTATAAATTGCTTAACTAAGTAACAAAAATAAAACCATTTGGAGACTTCCAAGAGCAAAAATCACAAACATGGTTGACACATGTAACTAGAAGGAAAATAATGATATAATGGAGATATTAACTTTACACACTAACTTAAATAAAAAAAAAATGTAGAAAAACAAGTCTGAAACGAATCTACTCACCTTCAATCGTCTTTTTGCCTTCCATACTTTGAATATAGTTGCCGCATCTGGTCTGGTGTTCCACCTATTTAAAGGGAGCGATGGATAAATTGTCGTCTAAATGACGCAAAAATGAAAATAACACTGACATCTCATTTTAACAGATATATTTAACAAAATTACACACAAATATCTTGAAAATAAAGTAAATTTATTCAATAAAATCTCTATTGGCTCCAGACACGGCCTCCTTGGTTAAGTTGGTAAATGCTGCCATAATCCTTGCGTTCGGTTTTGTTGATCTCTCGCTCAACTGTGCCCCACACATAATAATCAAAGGGGTTGCAGTCCGCGGAGTTAGGTGGTGAGGTCGCAGAAATAGTCTGACAGCCATGACTGGGTTCTCCTTCTTGTGTGGCATGGTGCAGAGTCCTGTTTCCAGACATAGGTACTTCCAGCAGCTACCCTCTTGACCCAGAGTAGCACTACCTCTTCAAGGCACTTGATGTAGGCCTCCATATTGAGTCTGATGCCCTGTGGGGAAGATGAATGGAGGCATAACGTCGCCATCACTAGGGATCACTCCAAACATCATGATGTTGACTGGATATATTATCCAACTCTTTCAGAATCCTCTACAGTGTTCTCAGATTGAAACCCAAACACTCTTAAATGTTTGTATTGGAGCTTCCGGCACGAATGCCAAGCAGTACAGCATGCCATCTTTTTTTTTTTATTTCTGACGAAGTGAATTGCGTCATGGTGCTCTTTTTCTCACAGACGGTGCGCAAATGATCCTACTACACTGTGAAATCGAGAAAAACAACAAAAAAAAAAGCAACGGGCATGTGCGAAATTAAAAACATAAAATGGAGACAATTTACCCATCGTTCCATGTGTTTAGATTTTCTTGATGAAATCCAAAGAAGAATCTGCAATGTTACTAGTCCTGACCTGGCATCTCGGCTTTAGTTCGACTGCCTTTTCTATTAAATACTTTCATAGTAATTGTTTTGATGAAATTTCCTCTATGATACTTTATGAAGTTAAGCACAATACTAGATTTGTGGCAAGATCTCATCCTTTTACAGTTGAAATGGCAAAGATGTAACCGCAATTTCTAATAATTTATTCTCTCCTACTTCTCGCTTCCAGCTTCTTGCTTCCCAGTCAACTCTGATCTTCCAAAATGTAAATGCCATGTCAATCGTTATCTTCTCTCTTCTTAATTCCTGTTCTTTTATTCTCTCCCTAAATAATTTCTTTTTCTCATATTCTCTCGCACTCAGTAACCTCCTTGCATCTTAGTGGTTTTATTGCCTTGCTTGGGGTGAAATGATCAAAAGAATCTTCCATCAAGTTTTAACAATTAGTGGACGTAAGAAGTCTTATTTCTTTTAAGATTTCATAAATTTCAACCGACAGTAACACTAACTGGTTGGTCAATGAATGTCGAATGTTTCCTGTATGGAAACGGCTAATTTCACCAATACCATACTCGACGTGGAGCTTTTATTAGCAAGCTAAGTAAATCATTACGTGTGTAGTGGTTTCGTTTTTCTCTTCATATTTCAAACCTGTGGCCTTGTATCGTACTCAGTAAATACTTATAATCGTACCGATACGGTTAGATCTTTTGTATCTTGCACAGATCAAAGCTGGAGAAATAATTCGTAGAGCACTGCAAATTATCTGGAAAAAAAACCTATATAGCCAAGAGCTGGGATTCCCAAAGTGAGAGGCATCCGCCTCTTGGCGGTAAAAAGATCTGGGATTTTTCCTTTATTTTTTTACAAAACCTTTATGACAAATTATCAGCCACTTACACTTAATGGATGCATTTGCTTTATAAAAGAAAAAAAGATTAACACAAGACTTAAACACAAATGCATTCTTTTATTGTCCGAAATTTAAAGACCGAACTTTTGTTTGTATCTTATTGACTTTACCTGGCCAAATCCGGCTGCCAACGTCTTCAGTAGTCATGTTTGTAGATGTAGCTATATAGTCACGGATGTTCGTCTGGTGTTAAATTATTCTTTTTGAATTTGCAGTGTACACAATGCCAAGAAATGTGTGTGGAAATGGGGCGCTCGTGATGTATCCAAGGAGCAAAAGCAATGGCAGTTTGAAAATTTGGGGATAAAAGCGTTGGTTCGTGAAATTCGTGGCATAGTAACCGCTAGTCTGTGTAGTACGGACTCAGTGGAAACAGGGCGAGCAATACCCGAATATCACTAAAAAGAACAAAGCGACATGGACAACGGAATGAGAACAATCAAACACCGTAGATTAAATTAAGGGTTTAGTTCGAAATTCGTTTTTGGTATTAGGTACAGTGTAAATTCAAAAATTGTTCAAACCAAAAATTCTTTAAAAGAAAGTGAAAACAAGATTTAGTAACTGAAAGATTCAAACGTCAGCGACATTTTTCGCGTAAAAGTCTTTGTTAGAATCAACAAGATTCTTTACTACTGACAGCTGTATCGATTCATACCGTCATAAATCAATCATTAATTATCGATTTTTTTACGTTAACATTGTTATTAATAACTAAATAAAAAAGGATTTTTTGTTATACTTTTTTCAAGTGTTTTTACAGTAATGTTCACCCTGTACAAGGCCCCGGAGGACACTCGAGTTTGAGGGTTAGGTTAAAGGGTAGTTTATATAGAAAGCAGGGGAAGATAACGGTTAACTCTAGAATTGAACAGATTAAAAGATTGTAGCAATTGGGGAAACATTCTCTAGGGATTCTGTTCTATAGGGCAGTGGTTCGCGGTAAGAAACTGTTTGAATGGAACATACTTCTCGCTGATAGAATACAAAAGGAATATGGATGGTTTGCTACTATGTAAGTGGCATGGCGGGTTCTAGCCGTGAAGTTCTCCCCGTTTTAACTTTTCTTTTCCTCCACTCTTTCTTTCATTTTCTCCTGGTTTTCCCTTTTTCCTTTCCCTTTCTTTTCTCGTTTTCCTTTTCTCCACCTCAAATTTCTTTTTCTTTATCTTTTTTCGCAATTATATCTTCTTTCTTTCATTCTTTCTTTCCTTCCTTCTTTTTTCTTTCTTTCTCGTTCATTTTCTTCTGGTTCTCCCCACTTTTTATTTTTCTCTTCCTTTTTCCTGTCTTCCTTTTCTCCATATCTTCTTTTTTCCTTCCCTTTTTCTAATTAGATCATCTTTCTTTCTTTCATTCTTTTAAAGATTTTTTTTTCTTTCTTTCTTTCTTTTCTTTTTTTTTCGAGATTTTTCTTTCTTTCTTTCAGGGTTTTCTTTCTTTTTTTTCTTTTTCTTTTTCTTTTTTTTTCTTTCTTTTTTTCTTTCCTTCTTTCTTTCTTTTCTTTCTTTTTTTTTCTTTCTTTCCTTCTTTCTTTTCTTTCATTCTTTCCTTCTTTCTTTCATTTTTCATTCTTTCTTTTCTTTCTTTCTTTTTTCTTTCTTTCTTTCTTTCATTTTTTTTTCCTTCTTTCTTTTCTTTCTTTCTTTCTTTTTCATTCTAAAAATTTATTTTTCTTTCTTTCTTTCATTCTTTCCTTCTTTCTTTCTTTCATTTTATCCTTCTTTCTCTCTTTCATTCTTTCTCTCTTTCATTCTTTCTCTCTTTCATTCTTTCTTTCCTTCTTTCTTTCATTCTGTCTTTCATTTTTTTTTTTCTGGTTTTCTCACATTTTCCTTTTATTCACCTCTATTTCATTTTTTCTTCCTGCTATTTTTCCTCTAAGATTTTTTTGTGGTAGTGGCGGGGGAGGTGCATCCCAAATTATCCTCCTCTCTCTTTGTAGATTCTGTCTTTCTTTTTCCTAGCTAATCACAAAGAGTAATTAACCAAATGGTGCCAATATGTCTGTCCCAACGTCGAGGAATGGGAAACGAATTAGGGATGGTTAGGGTACATGCCAGAGGCCGAAAAAGGCCAACACTCAATCCTCTTTTCCCGTGATTTCACCTCTCACCTCGTTCCACCGTCTGAAACCAACCATCCATCCATCGGCTCGACAAAATGATGGACTGCAACAGTTGGTTACACCCCATCAGATAGTGAAAATGATTTCTTATACCCAGCAATCAACATCACCGCCACTGTCATCATCATTATTAACCTTAATTCTTTTAGGTTTCCTACCCTCAACATGAAATCGAATAAGACCAACACAAAAAGCAGGACTGGGGAATTTTAAACAAAGAATGTAAACATATTCGACACACGCATAATGTCTCTTTGTTTTAGATAAGTTTTAGCCTCTTGAAATGGACCCCCAGGAACACAATGGACATAGCCGTATATTTACCTATATACATGCAAATACGTACATATATTTGTAGGAAGAACTCAAATTCGATTTCTGTTTGTGAAAACAAAACACACACGCACATTTACAATCTTACACATCCATAAATTTGTTTATATATTTTTTGCGTATTTGCGTATGCTGTATGTCTGTGCGTGTGTGTGAAAATGAGAAAGTATATATCATTTATTGATATTTTTCACAATGATGTTCATCCTGCGCAAAGCCCAAGAGCCATTCAATGTAGAGGATTACAGAGTAAGAAGCACAGTTTATGTGGATATGTGGGGCGATAACGGTTAACCTTAGATTTGAAAAGTTTAAGATTGTCGTGGTCGGGGAAGCATCCTCAAGGGAGTCGGTTTCACAAAGCGGAGGCTTGGTAATTTATATTTGTATTTCATACAAAATATCTCAATCTACACACACACACAAACTCATATATATATATATATATATATATAGAGAGAGAGAGAGAGAGAGAGAGTGTGTGTGTGTGTGTATTTAGGCAGCAATCCTTCATTTATACATGTTTCATTAAAGAAGACAGAAAAGGTACTACGATTAAGCTTTTTATTTAATTTTTCTTGTGTTCGAACAAGTGTTTTCTATTTTGGACATAGAGTGTGTAGAAACTGTCTAAATGTTCTATAATTTCGAGCGCTTTCGACTATACCTTTAGCCATTATCAAGGATGATTTTATTTTTTCAATTTAATTGGGTGTGTGGATTGTGTGTACGTTATAGAGATGTTTTATTTTCTGATCACAGCACACTGTGGCCGTGTTCGTAGTTAATATTAAGTGTTGGCCTTTTCTTTTTTATTATTAAGGCTTCCATTATTTTTAATCCTTTTTTTTCATGTGGAAGAGGTTATTATGTCTGTATTTTCTACTAGTATGTTTCGAATGTGTCCAAAAAAGAAAACGCTTGTTCGAATACAAGAAAAATTAATTAAAGAAAAAGTTTAATCGTAGTACCTTGTCTATTGTCTTTAAAAAAAACGTGTATGTATGTATATATATATATATATATATATATATATATATATATATATATACTAGCAGCATGGCCCTGACGTTGCCCGTGCTTGATTCAAAAATCGTACGTTCATGCAGCAATCGCTATCAATTGACTTAAAATATTTTTGCCCTTCCTTGCCTTTAAAGGAGTGCCCTTTGCCGTGTTGATGTTGCTACATGCCTTACTTCTTGCCTATCTCACACTGCGGATTTTTTCTAAGCTCTATTCTAAACATTAAACCGTTACGAAAAAAGAACTAAACAAAATGAACACAAAATGATCATCTTTAAAAAAATGGGGACTCGTAACTGGAAAAACCGAATGAAAAAAGAATGTTAACAACAAATACTTTTTCACATCCAACCCAGTTCTGCGGAAACAGATTGGAGTAAAGTGCCATGCAGATTTAAATTTTTCCCACTTGTGATGAATGCAGCTATCGATTTTTTTTTTTTTGCATGCTAGCATGCTAGTTAACATTCGTGTCAGTCAGCTGTTGGCTCTTACCTGGCCAATAGAATCTTCCTGCCTATTCGTGGCAGCCAGCTATTGGCTCTCACTCTGGCCAGTAGAAAATGGCCGCAAACTACATGAAAACTGCCGTAGAAGCATGAAAAATCGATTATTTCCACTATCGATGGGAGTTTGGAAATGCAAAGTCGGTCTTGGCCTAAGTTGGAGAATGTGCATGTAAATTTTGGTGCAAATCCGTCGAAAAATTGCGGCCGTGCATTCGTTACACACACACACATCCTTTTATTTTATATATATATATATATATATATATATATATATATATATATATATATATATATATATATATATATATAAGGTTAATGGTCACAGGGGAATCAAACCAGAAGACAGTATCATTAAAAAAGTGCTCAATACACGTGAGAAAAAATATAAGTAAAAATAAGTAAAAAATAAAAATAACATGTAGAGCTTTTAACTTAAAAAATCCCTCTTTACTGTATACATCTACGATATTCTTGCATTCTCGTTCCTTTCCATTCTTTTTTTTTTTCAGCCTTTTTTTCCCCCTCCTTTCCATTACACTCTTTTATTCTGTCTTTCAATCGTCATGAGCCTGCTATTTTTTTTTTTTTTGAAAGATAATTATGTATCGTTCTTTGTGGTTTTTAAAATAAAACGTTAAAGTGGTCATTTTAAAAGTCACACCTGAAGACACCAACATGTCGAAACCATGGTCACGTATTTTAATTGAACTCCTGATTTTTTACAGTTATATATATATATATATATATATATATATATATATATATATATATATATATATATAGCGTTTAAAATAAAAATAAAAACCGGCGGGGTGTCTGTTTCAAATACGGGTATCTACAAGAAATAATGTTTGAAGTAATAAAAAATATCGGATTAAGGATAAAATCCATTAATTCCTTAGAAATATGTCTATATGTAACTCGAGTTATGAAATCCTCCCCAGCCAAGCCACCCGAAACGCTAATGGGGGACTTGGTGGGTTTAAGATCAACTCTATCAACTTTTTGTGTAACCAATATATTTGTCTATATAAATTAATATATATATATATATATATATATATATATATATATATATATATATATATATATATATATGTATGTATGTATATATATATATATATATATATATATGTACAAAGACAAAAGGAAAACATTCTAATTTTATTATCTTTACAGATATATTTTGTTTATATTGCAATTTTTACACACATACACAGACGCACACACACATACATATTTTGATTGTTCATATGTTTATATTTATTTGCATATATATATATATATATATATATATATATATATATATATATATATATATATATATATATATATATATATATATATATATATATATGAAGTCAAGGAGTTATAAGAAGCTATATATAGAACCAAATTGTCCCCCCTTTATTCGGGGGACATTTGGTTTAGGATCAACTCTCAGTTCGTTCATGCATATATCCGGGTAGTATTGAATGGAAGTTTTCATCTTCGATTAATAATCCCTTCGGGTTTTATTTCTTATTTTTCTTGATTCACTTCGACACTCGGCAGTTGGGGAACATGAGGGAACACTTACGCACCATCCCACATCGGTCTTCTGAAGGTAATTCGCCTTTCAGCCCTGAATAAAAATCCCTATTCCTTTCACTTCCGTACCCCGCTGTTAAGTCCATTGCTCCACCCTGCTTTCTAATCTTTCGACCTGATACAAAATAAAGGATAAAAAGGGTTAACGATTGAAAATATGTCGGCGAAAATATGACGCGTCAATGAGCTGAAATCAACACTGCCACCCCACAAAAATAAAGAAAAAGCGATACCTAATGTTTTAAATGCATTTTTTAAAATGAAACATTTTTCTTGAAACTTTCATTTTAGTTTTAATTCCAAGCTAGTAGATTCCATTTACCATTTTCAATAAGCAAAATACTTCACGTTTACGGTATTTCAAAACGAATCTAAATTGATTGGAATTATTTTTTTAATCGCTAAAATTGGACATATTGATAAATCTGTCAACACAACGGAATTCTCTTTAAAACATTTAAAAAAATAGAAACATTTTTCTCGAGGAAGATTAATTGATTCAAAGTATAATTATTCTGAATTAAAACAAATATTTCTTACTTTTAGTTTAAAATATCAAGAAAAGCATTTTTAACACGAAGGCAGGCATTTTTACGGAGTGTTGACACATTCAATCTTTGGCTAATTTAAGTAAAGGTTACATAGCTGTAAAAATTATGGTATTTGTTCCTTTATCCATTTACTCAAAATAGTCGAGAAAGTTAGCCATTGTTTTCCTCTTCTTTTCTTCCCTTCGATACGTCCTGTGAGTATTAAATCCTCCAAAACTTTCTTCTTCATAACGTGTCCCATAAATTCCAACTGACATTTTCTCAATGTTATTAAGCTTTTATTTGTGGTTCTTAGTCTCCATAAAATTTAACTTTATTTATTCTCTGCTGTTGATATTAACATTCGTCGGCAAAACCCTACATCGGCCGCTTAAAATATATGTTCATCTATGAGAGAATTGTTCAGCTCTCACTACAGGTATACATTATATAACAGTCCAATGCTTTTCTTTCATACCTTGCTCTATTTCTGAATAACTCAATTCGTTATTCTGACACGCCTTCCGGTTTCCATGTCACACGTTTCGTTACCTGTTACTACACTGCTCATATAGTTGAATTTTAATTCTGACATTGAATTTACACGTGTCTCATTCACATTTTGGATTGTCTCTTTTGATCAGAAGTATATATAGGGTGCGGTGGATAATTTGTCACCCTTTTAAATTTTTAATTTCGCGCATGCGCGATATCTGTTTTTGATTATTTTTTTTTCGACTTCACAGTATAGTAGGGTCAGTTGTGCACCATCTATGAGAAAAAGATCACCATGGCCCAATTTACTTTGCCAGAAATTTGAAAACGGCATGCTGTACTGCTTGGTATTCGGACCGG